GGAAGGGGGTAGCTTCTGTGGTGATGGAGCACCCATAGGTAGAAACCTGAATTGGCTCAATGTCGTTGAAGAAAAAGAGCAGCCACTTTCGGGAGGACTTTTAGAGGGAACTACCCCGCATTTGAATATCCTACAGGAGAAAACCCGGAAAACTCCCACCATGTAGTCTCACTAACAACTGGGGCCTGATGGTCAAGTGGCTAGCGCTCTGGCGCTCGGTACCACCGATTTCGAGTTCATATTCCGGCGGTGCCACGGTTGTTTGTAGTAGTTCGGAATCCACTTTAAACCACAGGTCCCGGTCTCGTATGACTGTAGAGCGTCACAGAGCCCAGTCAGACTTCTCACCCACATTATTCCCAAGCTGTAGAGGGGCAACTCAGCTCTAGGCACAGCGTTAAAGTATTGTGTAGTAGTAGAAGTAGTAATCTGACTAACGAGGCAAGATGCGGAATATACAAACGCCATCGAGTATCCTCGTTTTTGAAACAGTGTCTACAACAATACCACCAGCGGATAGAACCTCAGCCCTAATACTCATTAGCGGGCGCGTTGCTACTGAGCCACGAGTCGGGATGTCTTCTTTTTTGTATCTATATATCTGTCTTCAAACATAATAAATAAATACATCATAAATAAGGCAGCTTTATTCTTGAAACATCAAAATTATTTATTAAAATCAACCGTAATAACGTATGTATTACACACAGAAATTAAAGATAATTTGGAATAATATAAAAATATATTACATTTAAAAATTATCCTAACCAGAAGGATGAACCTGCAGCGGTATTATCAAAAAATTGATCATCGGCTCTATTTTTTGTGAGTGACATTCTTAAATCGAATTGCTATTTGCAGCCGGGTATTTTTTTAACAAATTTGTGAAAGCACTAAAGTCACGCTTCCACTAAAAATAAAAAAAATACGCTTTAAAAAAAAATAAATGCACTTAAAAACTTTTAAAGCTTTTAACTCTGAAAGAAATGCACTTAAAAACTTTTATTTTATAGTCCATAATTCACGATAAACCTTAGATATCTGCTTTAGCAGCTTTTACACGACAGTTGAAACATGTACGAATACTTTTTCTGGATTTTCTTCTCTTCTCTTCTCTTTCTTCTTTCACCACCCTCTTATTTATATTAAACGCCCCTCATATGCATTAGAGGGTACTGGCATTTCCCCACTGATCCTTTCACTGTTTCCTAGGAGTCGGTAGCGCCAACTTTGAGAAGTAGCTCAATAATATATAAAAAAATAAACAAAAGAAAAAATGATTATTAAAATGTGATATGTACTTAAAGGTAGCATATGTGGGGTTGGCTTTGACCTCCCCTAGTCTTACCAAATGGAAGGGCTTTTCAGCCGAGAGATTTATTGTATCCATTCCAAACATAGCCACAAAATCTTTGGATTCAGCATGGTTTGTCGGATTTGAACTAAGTACAGTACGTAAATACAAAGTGCTATCCATAGCCCATCCGCCCAAATTTACATAAATGACATTACAAAAATTATGTAATAAAGCTGTTGCTTTAATAAAGACGTAATTAATCATATATCACCCTTCAATTAATATAATTTATTAATCATATTATTATTATTATTTCTACGAGTAGAATAAGCCAACGGCCGTACCATGCTGAATATACCGGTTCTCGTTAAGTCAAGCATCATTGGGCGCGGTCAGCACTTGGGTGGGTGACCACCTGGGAACACCGCGTGCCGTTGGCAAATTTGGGACCTGAATGGCCGACTGTCTAGCTCTCTGACACTCGGTGCCACAGGTTTCGGGTTCGAATCCCGGCGGTGCCATGGATGTTTGTAGTGGTTCGGAATCCACTTTAAGCCGTAGGTCCCGGTCTCCTAGGACTGTAAGAGCGTCAGGGAGCAAAAGTCAGGCTTCTACCTATGGGTGCTCCATCACAACAGAAGCTGCTTCCTTCCCCTTCAACCATGAGTACGTATGGGCTCGTGGGCTTGGCCAGCCAAGTGGGATAAGAAACAACAACAACAACACGAGTAGAATTTCGCTGTTTTTAAATAAACAAAAAAAAAATTAGAAAAATGACCACTACAAACAATAACCAAATAAATAATGCATAAATGCTAATATCAATGAACCTTATTAGTTCATAATACCGAAACAAATACTTATTTAAAAAAGATTGGTTTGGTTTGCCGCTATACGATCATCTTGTGCACACGAGGGCTATACGGACCGGGACCTACAGTTCAATGTGGATTCCAAACCACTCAAACATCCATCCCACTGCCAGTATTCGAACCTGGAGCCTGTGGTACCAAAAGCCAGAGCTCTAGCCATTTAGCCATCAGGCCGCTGTTTAAAAAAAGAATAGCATATAATAGTTTGCTTTTAAAAATAGAATCATTTCTTTGGAAACAAATTGACTAAAATATTCACGAAATAGTCCCAATAACTGCATTTCAAACAATTTTATTAATTCTTACTTGTTATGCCTTACCATTAAGTGCATACTTTAATAGAGATGTAATTAATTATAACATTATCCCCATTCAATTAATACAATTTATTAATCATATTATTATTATTTCACAATTTTTAAATAAACAAGAAAAAAATTAACATTAGATGCATTGTTTAAAAATACGGTAAACGCTCTTTAATCTACCACTCCAGACCACGGCAGTGCCGAATTTACGATTTTGCTATATTATAGAGCTGCAATATGATTTTAATGAAGATACAAAAGATAAGTCACTTTAGATAAAAATTAACCAACTCCATACCAAAAATCCGAAAGCGACGGTCTCGGTCCACGCCGATTTATGCAAAGTTTCGTATCTTCAAATGCCGGATTAAATAACCTTTATTGTATTATTTATATAATGTAGCCCTTCATCGAAACTTGCAGAATTCATTAAACTTCTCCTAAGTTTCTACTTCTTCTTCTTCAAGCTGCTAGAATTGTCAGTGCTTCACTCATATTAGACTGGGCTTGGTATCTAGTGCTCTGGTGCAATAGGTCTCGGATTCGAGTCCCAGTGGTGCCATGGATGTTTTTAGGGTTCGGAATCCACTTTATGCTGTAGGTCCCGGTCTCGTATGACTGTAGAGAGTCATAGAGTCTAGTCAGACTTCTCACCCACATCATTCCCAAACTGTATTGGGGCAACTCAGTTCTAGGCACAGTGATGTGGTGTGGTGTAATAGTAGTCATATTAGATTGGGATCTACTGTTTAAAGTGGATTTATAACCGCTACAAACATCCATGGTACCGTCAGAACTCGAACCCTGTGGTACCGAGCGACGGAGCGCTAGTCACTCGATATTAGGCTATTTTTCTAATTTTGCTTTATCAAAATCTAGTGCTTTTTAACTGAAACCCTCAAAACCGCTTCTTCAAAATATAGTTAGTTGTAAATTCATCTTCTTCCTTCTTTGTTTTAGTTCATGTTAACCAATGTCTTTTATGAAAATGTAAGAAATAGCAATCTTTTAAGCTTACAATCGATTTTTTAAATTAGGGTGTTTTAAGAATTTTGTATAAAAACTAAAAACTGTATTTATTAAAATAATTTATTGTACATTTCTATTATTCATGATTTGTAGCCAGTATAATGGGTTATACTAGCTTGTTTAAAACTTAATGGTTATGGTTTATAACTTAAACCATGACCATTAATGGCTGATGATTTAAAACTTAATTATATAATATACTAATTAAATTTTTGTAGATGATAATAATTTTTTTAAATTTATATATTTATATACGCAGATCACGGCCCACCGACGCCTTTCTAGTAATCCGTCGCATCATATGCCTAATTCACTTAAAAATTATAATTGGTAATTTTTTTGAAATAATTTATGATTTTGATGAAAGTTAGTCCTCTTTGGTTGTAAATACAATTTTTCTCTGGCAGCTTTAAAATGTTTTTCGACGCCTTATCTCTGTCATTTACGCAATACTCATTAACAAAGCCGTCTGTTCCTCGTCTAGAAACTGTAAGATGCTTGAACCCGGTTTGTTTATCTTTACTCATCGGAATAAACAATAAAAAAAGAAGCAGCGTTTCGACAAACTCTTTGATACTGAGCGAAATTGAGTCAAATATTTGTAAAACAACAGGAAATCGCTATAGAATGATTATTCGTACTCAATTGCACGAAATCTCGAACTAATTCATGTTTCTCTTAGAATAATACAAGATATCCCAAACTAATATTTTTAGTACAGAATTAAAAATTAATTTTAACACGAATATACACGGGATAATCTGTTAAGAAGTTAAAGCTCGTAATTACATCAAAAACCCCTCAGCTATCTACATATACTATTAAAAACTTTCCTTAATTAGTAAGGCCAATCTGTTTGGATACATATTTGTAGTGGGTATAACATCTAAATAAGACTTCCTGGAAACGCAAATGTTCCATAGCTATACTTTACATATCAGCTATTATCACTAAAATCATCTCATTTTTATTCATTTTGAAAAAAAAAATACGGTAAATATGGAGTTATAATAACGCTATAAATAAGATGTAGCTTTTCAACCATCTTTTAGATACTGAGCAAAATTGAATCAAATATTTGTAAAACAACATGAAATCGCTTTAGAATGATTAATTGTTGTCAATTGCACGTTTATTGTGCAATCAATTGAAAACAACAGTAAAACTTGTGTGTGTAACAACAGTGCAAACTTGTGTAAACAACAGTATAACTTGTAAAACAACATGAAATCGCTATAGAAGTATCAATTGCACGTTATTTATCATGTTTCTCTTAGAATAATACAAAATATCCTAAACTAATCTTTTTAGTCCAGAATTAAAAAATAATTTTTGCACGAGTATACACGGGATAATCTGTTAAGGAGTTACGTCAGAATCCCCCTTTAGCTATCTACATATATTATTAAAAACTCTCCTTAATTAGTAAGACCCAATCTGTTTGGGGTACATATTTGTAGTGGGTGGTTGTAGCCTCTAAAAAGCATCACTGAAATTGTCTCACTTTTATTCATTTTGAAAAAATGCATTAAATATGGAGTTGTAATATGCAATAAATAAGACGTAGCTTTTTGACCATCTTTTGAATACTAAGGGAAAATTTTTGTAAATAACATGAAATCGCTATAAAATGATTATTATGTTATCAACTGCACGATGTCTCGTGTTTTCCTTAGAATAATACAAGATATCTCATATTAATCTTTTTAGTCCAGAATTAAATATTAATTTCCGCCCGAATATACACGGGATAATCTGTTAAGAAGTTAAAGCTCGTAATTACATCAAAACCCCCTCAGCTATCTATATATACTATTAAAAACTTTCCTTAATTAGTAAGACCCAATCTGTTTGGGATACATATTTGTAGTGGGTGGTAGCCTCTGAATAAGACTTCCTGGAAACGGAATGCTCCATCACTGCACTTTACATCTCAGTTATATCACTAAATTGTCTCACTTTTATTCATTTTGAAAAATATATAAATGTGTTATAATACACAATAAATAAAACGCAACTTTTCGACCCTCTTTTAGATACTGAGCGAATATTTGTAAAACAACATGAAATGGCTATAAAATAAGTATTTATTGTCTATTACACGGTATCTCGAACTAACTCGTAATCTCAACCTAATCTTTTTAGTCCAGGATTAAAAATTAATTTTCGCACGAGTATACTCGGGATAATCTGTTAAGGAGTCAAAACCTCACAGTTACATCAAATCCTCCGTCATCTATCTATATATACTATTAAAAACTCTCCTTAATTAGTAAGGCCGATCTGTTTGGGGTACATATTTGTAGTGGGTGGTGGTAGCATCTAAATAAGACTTCCTGGAACGGAATGCTCCCTTCCACCGTGGCTCCCCATTGATGCTTTAAGTTGAATCGTGTGACGTGGGGCCTGTCGTTTATTTCTGGAGAGTAAAGGGTGTGTCATGCGGCAAATCAGTCCAACACTCCCATCAGGAATAAACTACGTGTGACGAGTGACGATTACGGGTGGTGCAATCGCGCAAAACTTAGGTGCGTAACTCGCCGGATTTCGATTCAATCTCGTTACTCCTTTCGAAGTGAGTGGATGCACGACTCATGACTTCTGTTTGTGGATACAATACTGTTGGTAAGTGGCCATGTTGTTTTTCCTTCATTCTTTCTGTTGCAGATACGCCTCTCATGAAAAATTTAAACTTAGTATGATGTCGCGATTACCAATCTGTTCGGTTTGTTAGCATTTTCTATAAGGAATATGATTTTCTGTTAAGGTAATAGTTAAATTTTTATGACTTTTTTTAAATTTGAGTACAATTAAGTTTTTAAAAAGTACTTATAATAAATCATGTTTCAAAAGAGAACCATCAAAATATTGAGAAAAAAAATCTAAATTGGTGGTTCTAAAATTTTTGGGAGATTTCTTGCGTGAAATTTTGAAATTTCTCTTTGAAATTTTATTTGTTTATTTATTGATGGCTTGCGGATTTGAATTAATTTGCCGATTAAAAACTGGATTAAATAGGCTTATTAATTAAGATTATAGAATATTTAATACAGTGGCCTGATGGCCGAGTTATTAACATTCTGGCGGTCGGTATCACAGGTTTCGGACTAGAGTCCTGACGGTGCAATGAAGGCTTGTAGTGGTCCGGAATCCATTTTAAAACCGTAGACGCAGATCTAATATGACTGTTTTGCGAATGGTTGACAACCCTACCCCGTAAAAAGAAA